AGTTACACTATTTTTTTTCTGATCTTAAAATTTTAGTCAAAATTTTATCTCCAATTCGAACTGCTATTATGAACTTGGAGGCCCAATCAACAACACTTGCAGATTGCTTTGTACAATTCGTTGGTTTGGCAGCTGCTATTAAAAAAATTTCAAACTTACGAATTAATGAATTTAAAAATTATTGCAAGCAAGTTTTTAATAAAAGATGGAATGATTTTAATATGGATATTTATTTGCTTGCATATTTTCTCCACCCAGGATATCGTGGTATGCATATTTTGAAGATTTTAATAAATAAATATATATTAGTTAATATAATTTTTTTATTTTATTAGGCGCTGGTTTACGAGAAAGTCAATTTCAAGAAATTGCAAGAATTGCAATTCAAATATGGAAAAATGAAGACTATGATGAATATGAATGTGCAAATCTTATTGCATATATGCGATTATTTCAAGAAAAAGAAGATGGATTTGACTTGCCTTATAGTTTTGAAACTGATAACTCTTTGTTATGGTGGATGACGAATTATACTGGCTTTAAATCTATTGGAAAGCTTGCAATTAAAAATTTTTCAATCACACCACATTCTGCTGATTGTGAAAGAACATTTTTAGCATTAGATTGGATTTATGGAAAATGACGATGCAAACTTTCTTATCATGGCTTCAAGCTATGGCACTAGTTCGATCTTTTTATATTTCAAATATAAAAAGAGAACTTGCTTTTTTTGGCAAAAAAACATCGTTGAATGACTTACAAGTACAAGTTGCATCTGCAACTTTTTTGGTTGAAGATAATGAAAGAATTATAGAGGATTTTGAAATAGAGAAAGCTAAATATAATTTAGAAATTATTGAATGTTTTGATATTGAAAACATAGTATGTTTAAATGATGAAGTATTTCGAGATAGTGAATCTAATAGTGATAATGAAGAATTTCAAGATTATGAAGATGAGTTTGATGAACTTGATTACGATGAGTTAACTGGTAACAAAACAGGACAAGGTGTATTTGATTTTGACCCTGCAGAATTGGCAGCGAATTTAGTGAGAGAATGAGATTATGAAAATAATGACTTAAATGTAGATAATATAGATTCAAATACTATAGATAATATAGATTCGAATACCATAGATAATATAGATTCGAATACCATAGATGAAAATAATGCAAATGATAATATTACTAGAGATTCAAGTATTATAGAGAATGAAAATGAAGCATTAGAGTCTTTACCTATAGCACTTAGAAAAACATGTCGTCAAATCTTAAAAAGATAAATAGCACTTAAATATAGTGTAAAAATTGCTTAGAAAAATGTGTAAAATTTAAAAGGATAATAAATAAAGCTTTGTATTATCTTTTTATAGAATGATTTTTTATATTTTGTGTTTCGTCAATGGTTTCGTCAATCGATGCCAGTTTCGTCAATCGTCGCCAGTTTTGTCAATCGTCAACAGTTTCGTCAGGATCGTCATTTGACGATCCCATTCGTCAATTCAGAAATAGTTTCGTCAAGCATCTTTAGATAGTACAATCAATAAATAATTAGAGTATTTTATTTAGTGCTGGATTGATAATCTGACTTTCTGATCTCATTTTATTTTGTCTTTATATTTTGTCTTTACTTTGAAAGAGTCCACTATATAATAAACTTTTTTTAACAAATTTATAAAAGTTCGGTATAGGAACATAGTAAATTACTTTTATAAAAAATTTTTACTATAAAGATTGCCAGTTCATTATAAAAAATTAACTGTATACGATTTTTTTTTTTTATTCGTTTGTTATTCATACTGTATTTTAAGAAAAAATAAAGGCGGTCTCATTTATAGAAATAAAGAAAAGATTACAACTCACGCTATAATGAAGTTCTCACAATACTTACATTGAGAAAATGCTGATATAATTTACTATATGCAGTTGAAATTTAATCATTCCTTAATTCAAGACTCATTATATCAAGAGTTTACTACAGCAAAAGTGTGCTGTATTTTGAAAGACTGGTATGGGCATATTTTAGAACTCAGCAATCACTTATTTGTGTTAATTTGGCTAATTTGGTTCATGAATACAGATTCGTCTATAAATCTAATTACAGTAGTTGTTTTTGATAACGAACTTATTTATAATGATCTCTGGACATAATGAACGTAAAATTTAAGATTTATATTAGTTAAGTTTGGAAAGTGTAGATTTTTTTGTTTGTATATCCGATGGTTTGATGTTATTATATGATTTGTACAATATAATTCAAGTTTTATAATTCATTTTATTGAAAATAAAATTTCCAGAGTATTGTAAAGTTGGAATATCCTGTGACTACTCCCTCAACTGGTGGTTCTAAATTTTACTATTTATAATTATGCAAATTGGAAAAAACGAATATAACAGAAACTTATCGAGCTAAATCATCCTTACAAAGAACTATTGAAGTAGTTAAAAAAATCAGTTACATAATATATATATTTTTTGGTAATTGAATATACAGTATACTATCTAATGAATTTAAATACAAAGGCAAACGCTTTAATGAAGTTTTCATTTATCAAAATCTTTTAAAAAACCCCGAATTGCAAGTGAATCTATTAATATTTAACAAGAAAACTTTTAAGGGTTGAGCACGAAAAGCTTGTGGTTCAGAAGATTAAGGAAAATAAGTTGAAAAAAGAAATTATGTTGCGAGAAACTTCAAAAATTTTTATATAATTGAACTTTAATTAATACTTTTTTGCAAATTGTTATAGATATATAATAATATAACGTTATTTTTTTTTTAATTAAAATTGCAAATACGAACATAAGGCATTTTAAATTAATTACACATTTAAAGTAATAAAAACTAGGAAATCAGAAACTAATAGATACCCAAAGCTATAGGGCAACTGAGTAACAAACTATCGCAATAATGCCCTCACAAGCTTTTATCATATATTTATCACCCGTTAACCATGGCTAAATTGTGCATGTATGCATGTTGCTCTCCCAACCCGGACAGTAATAACGTACATAATGGCTAATATGCAGAATAAAAATTTTGCTATGTACACACATGTATATTATGAGAACTTACTTATTTTCGAAATAATCATATGAGCTGATTTTGTAAACTGGGCCCTTTTATTTGTCCTCAAAAATAATAAAAAATAGATAATTTTAACAGTAAAAATACTTTAAATCTTAATAAAATGAATACTCAAATGATCAGTACGTCCTACAGAACGTGCCTAACTGATTACCTTACCCTTTAACTGATTATTGGGAAAAAGGAAAAGGTGCCGGTGACATAATAAAGACATTTAATTTCGTATATTCGAACGTACGTACATAATTTTATATCGTTAGATAATGAGTTTAATAGTCTAATTCCATCCAACTAGTTGGACAATACCATTTAATTTTTGGGTCGTTTAAAAATCTGCTCATATTTACAACCAAAAAAGAAAATTTATTTTGATGAGTATCTGTAGATAATGGGGCTGCCAATGACTCTGATTTTTGCAAGCATTAAATAGAAACTAAATAAACCCAATTCCGTAATAAGTATAAAATTTAAAACTTACAAAATTAAATTTCAAAATTTCGAATCATAAAGCTACTTACCAAGTGATTTCTTCATATCTAAGTAAAACTTTGAGTATTTGAAATCTACTTTCAAGCTTTTTCTCAAGCCAATTGGCTACAATATTGTAAATTAATTAAACTTTATGCTTGTATTTATTTCACATTATTAAGAATTCTCTAAATATTTCTAGATAGGATGAATCCCAAAGATACAAAAATATTTAAACTTCGTTTGTGAAAAATCTTATTTAATATTTTAAATGACGTTTTACATTTTTTAAAAAAAGTTAAATATGATCTGTTAATTTTAGGATCAGGCAAGTCTCAGCATTATCTGTAATATATTTTTAAATCGAACAACTTTAAATGAATGAGGCACAATTAAGGATGGACAAATCAAGCATTTTTTTGAATTTACTGTGCAGGTTGCGCAGCTGAAATATTATGTAAATTATGCCAGTTGGCCCGAATTTGAAAAATCATACTGCGTAACCTCTCAAAAATTTTGCGCAGGCTGCGCTGTGGCCCACTCCTAGACACAATTTTAGTTTTTTCTTTTCGCGATATATTGAAAAAATTATAACCGATTAAAAATCAAACATCCGTCCATGATTTTTAAGGTTGCGCTTTAAAATATTCACATCTCTAGTTGTATTCAACAAAGCGAATATGAACAATTTTTTTAAAATAAAAGCATTACATTAGGTTAGAGTTATGATTACAACGAGGCATATTCAAAATTTTGTCAAGAATTTTTTTTTTGCTAGTGCGCAGGGCTGTTTTATTTTTTAAAAAACGCATATATTTACATTATAAATCTGAAGTACATAATAACTTTACAGCAATGATATTTGAATGTTGACTAAAGTTATATTCCTAATTGATCAATATTGTATTTCCAAACAATGTTTGCATCTCTATACATACCCAAAATAACTTGTTACGTATATACCAATTGCATAATGAAAATGATTATCACACGGTACAAACTTAATTATTGACCGTACTGAATACATGTAAACACCATTCCTAGATTATAAAATTTACAATTATTGATGTTTTAGCTTTGCAGTACTCATTTGTACTATTTATATTTGTATTATAAACACAATTTATTGACTTGTATAGAACCAATTTATTGATTTGTGTAGATACAATTTATTGACTTGTCTAGATACAATTTATTGAATTGTATAGATATAATTATTGACTTGTATAGATACTTAAATTATTAAGCACTATAATAAATCTAATAATATTATCAAAAATATTTAATCTTTTATGATATCGTTCTTGCAAAGTATATATTTTCTAATATCTTTTCTTCCTCTAATCCAATATTATTAGAATAGAAATCTAAGTATTTCAGGGTATTATTTTTGCAAAGTGCATCTGCTAATGCTTTTCCTCCTTCTGATCCAAGATTATTATAAGAAAGATTCAAAGAAGTCAGCGTGGTGTTCTTGCAGAGTGCATCTGCTAATGCTTTTCCTCCTTCTGATCCGAGTTTATTACTATAAGAATGCCATTCATTTCCACTAAGATTTAAATCTTTCAGCGTAGTATTCTTGCAAAGTGCATCTGCTAATGCTTCTCCAACGTCTGATTCAAGATTATTATTACTAAGGTTCAAAGAAGTCAGTGTGGAGTTTTTACAAAGTGCACCTGCTAATGCTTTTCCTCCTTCCGATCCAAGTTCGTCGTATTCAACATTCAAAGAAGTCAGCGTGGCGTTTTTACAAAGTGCATCTGCTAATGCTCTTCCTCCTTCTGACCCAAGTTCATCGTAATCAATATCCAAAGAAGTCAGGGTAGTGTTCTTGCAAAGTGCACCTGCTAATGCTTTTATAACGTCTGGACCAAGATTATTACCACCAAGCTGCAAAGAAATCAGCGTAGTGTTCTTACAAAGTGCATCTACTAATGCTTTTCCTCCTTCTGATCCAAGGTTATTACAAGAGAGGTTTAAAGAAATCAGTGTGGTGTTCTTGCAGAGTGCATCTGCTAATGCTTTTCCACCCTCTGGTCCAAGTTTGTTATCATAAGAAGGATACCACATATTTCCACAAAGATTCAAAATTTTCAGTGTAGTGTTCTTGCAAAGAGCATCAGCAAATGCTTTTCCGACGTCTGGACCAAGATTATTATTACCAATATTCAAAGAAGTTAGCGTAGTGTTATTGCAAAGTGCATCTGCTAATGCTTTTCCACCTTCTGAACTAAGAATATTATATTCAATATTCAAATAAGTAAGAGTAGTGTTCTTGCAAAGTGCATCTGCCAGTGCTATTCCGACATCAGATCCAAGATTATTATTATCAAGCATCAAAGAAATCAGGGTAGTATTCTTGCAAATTGCATCTGCTAATGCTTTTCCTCCTTCTGATCTAAGATTATTGACAGAAAGATTCAAAGAAGTCAACGTAGTGTTCTTACAAAGTGCATCTGCGAATACATTTCTTTCTTCTGGTTCAAAACTACAATAATTAATACTCAAAGAAGACAGCGCTGTATTCTTGTAAAGTTCACCTGCTAATATTGTTTTAATAATAACATATTCAAGTGTTAAATGTTTAAGATTTTTACTTGCCCTCAGAAACATTGCAACTAAAGAACATTTGATAGCATTTGCAAGTTCATCTTTATCATTTTTGACCCTATATTTTTCTTTTTTAAGCCACCTTTTGACAGCGGTGTCCAAAAGAGAACCAACAGAAGTTGTATAACTTTCGTACTCAAATAATGGTTTTGAATAATTTGGAAGAATAATTTTAAAAGGGATTAATAAAGCTTGCTCTTCAGCATTTAATGCTAAAAAATACATTTTTATAAGTCTTTTATCCCCGAAATAATTTGTAGGTTTACTCCATAATATAGGTACAATAAGTCTACACCATCGACGGTTTACAAGAAGGCACGAAAATAAGGTTTTATAATTAGTTTGAAAATTATTAAATATTTCAATAAGACATTCGTTCGGTAACGTTTTCATGTTGAAAGAATTATTTGCGTATGAATTTGGAACGGTACTAACGGTAAAAATTGTCTCATTATATATGAACAACGTAAAATGTTGTGAAACGTTGCACATATCTATATAGAATACTTTTAATTGGGTTCTTTACTATCGCTATGAATTTTTTTTCTAAAAATAGATTTACTATTGATTTGAGTAACATATTCTACTATAAGATCTGCATTCAACATTTGCATAGTTTATAAGAAAAAAATTGAAATCCGGTTTTTAGTTCCAATAGTAATTCTGCAAGTTATAATTTATCGTATGCTTGTGTTATAATGTTTATGATACTTCAAACCTTCCTTTATCTACTAATAAGCTCGATATTCCTAACGAATTAAAACTGAAAACGATCTTCAACTTAAGTAAAGCGGCTATAATACATTAGTTACGACTATTAATGATTACAATCTTGATATAAAAAAACATGTAAGCTAATAATAATATAGATCACTAACAAAAGATTCTTCGGGGTTATGATTTACATAATCCCGAAGGGTCATTTTGTTAGAAAAGATTTATATAAAAGGGTCAGGGCAATGCTTTATATCTCAACATTAATTATTTACCAATAATTCTAGATAAGCAATCAGATGAAGATATTTTGGTATATACAAATTTGGAATAAATGAAGAGCAAGTTAATATGCATGATTCTGATAGCAATTACAACATTCTGGATGATTATAGTATTAGTTCTATTGCTGTTGCAGATAATTCTGTAATTGAGAATACAATCAATAATGTTAATAAAAATAACAATACCAATAATGAAATAAATTTATTTATATTAGATGAATTAGCTCTTGAGAGAGCCAAATTATTAGCTAGTGAAAAAGAAAATAATTATGATGAGGATATTGAGTGGGAAAATCTAGATTATAAATCTTTTGAAACAGTATTAGTTGCAACAGGATTAACAGAAGGTTCAAATTATCTTCTTAACAATTGTAAAAAGTCAAAAAATTAATATGTATTTTTTATATAAAAATAAGAGCCAAGTACAATGATGTTTTAAATTTATAAAAAAACACAGTAACTTTTAGCACAGCTAATTGGTACCTGAGAAATTGATAATGAAGTGTTTGAGTCTGTAAAAAATGATAATAAGCTATATACTATGGGTTATATTTTAGTTTTGATCAAACTGAACTTCATAATTCAAACCTTAAAATCTACAAAGTATAGAGCAAGGTTGAGTATATTGTTATCACTGCTAATTTTGTAGCAAAGACAGGTATTTTTTAGTCATAAAGCTAGTTGTATCTAATATACTTTACATATAATAGGGTACGAAATACAGGTTTTTTTTATGAGTTTTAAAGTATGTTTAGTATTTGTTACTAAAAATAATAATATTATTGAAAGACATAATCAAAACAGTAATAATAAATATCAACCTTGATATATTTGTACTCAATGTTTTTGATTCATAAAATAGATATTTTTTAACAATAAGATATTGAAAACTCACCTTTACAATATGCTAATAAACATGTTAATGATACAACACAAGTATTTGAACTCTTAGAACAATAGATTCTAAGTGTAGTAAAATTAAATAAATCTAAAGAAAAAGATGAACTGCTAACAAATCTTAGTACATTATCTTTTTGATAAAACAAAAAAGCATGAACAAAATCTGTATAGTCTTTTATTTGTTAAGATAGCACTTCAACTTGAACAAGTAAATTTAGCAAAAATTATAGAAAGTAATTATGATTTAGCATATAAATAATAAAAAAATTTAGAGTAAGTTTAGAAATTACTATATAAAAATTTAAAATAAAATATCAATAGATTTTTTTTTTTTTTTTTTTTAAGGTAAGATTTTGCCTTTATCTTTATTTAATAATTTGTATTGAGAATCCACTAGGGGTTTCTCTGGTCTATAAGACCAATAATTACAAATATTTTACAAGA